GCAGACACACAGAGGTCACTAGGTTGGTATCCACCTCTGCCTACTAGAAACCCACTATCTGCACTTTCCAAGAGGGCAGGAATCACAGCTGCCTGGACTGTAATGAAGGAAGAAAAGGAACAGGTGAATTATATGTTAGGATATACCATGTCACCCAGGAGATCTCCTGGCCAAAGATGGCACCTGGATTGGATAAGACCTAAGATAACCATCAGGAACCTGAGCCCAAGGATGCAGAAGCTCACTGATCCAGTGTGAAGTAGGGACCCCTAAACCACAGCCCTTATATTGGAGCCCTGACAGCCCAGGGAAGGCTGCCTTGGGGAGTTCACCCCATCATCTGCCCAGGGCTGAAGGACCTGGAAAGTAGGAAGAGATGCCATTAGCCCTCAGCTGCTTCTGCAAGTCAGGGTGAACCTCATGGATGTCTTCGATAGGAGTAAGATCCTCAGTGACGCTCTTCTTGACACAGCTTGGCTTTGCCAGCCATGCTGGCAGGAAAGGCTGGACCTAAAAGAGTAAAAAAACCACAAGAGTTCTGCAGAGCCCTTCAGGCTCATGGAGCAACACCAGTTATCAGAAACTAGGAACAACAGAAGAGACCCTAACAGCAGCTTCTATAGAGGCACCTAGGGAGAGTAAGTGCTGGAAAACGAGGGCAAACATTAGCAGGGCAGGTTTCCTTAAGCCACCCTGACTCTCATTTTAGGGCCAGCAAGGGGAGCTAAGAAAGGGAGCAGCACTCACATGGAGCAGTCAACCCTGATGCAAGAGCTGACTTAGTCTCTCCTCAACCCTTCACCACCACCCATTCTTGGCAGTCTTCGGACAAGACGCCCAGACCAGCAATTGCCTCACTACGGCCAGAAATGTTTCTGCGGGGGCCGCCAGACACACCAGTGTCCAATAGGTCTTACACGTCTGTGGAGTTCAGTTTTAAGAGTGTCCACACATACCCTAAGGAACTCTATAAGCCTCCCGCCATTCTATAGTTAGGGCCACGTAAGGGCAAAAACAAAACCCACAAACAACACCCCCACCCCGCCCCGATAAAGCTGAAGAATAGCGGGCGGACGGCCAGACTCACTCACCTTCAGTGTCTTCCTTCTTGCAAAGTCCCCCAGCACAGGCCCTGGAGCCGGGGGTCTCGGGGCCTCCTCTGGGGGCTTCTCACCTGAGTCCTCTAAGTCGGTGTTGAGCTCTCCAGGCGACTCTTCGCCTCTCCCTGCGCGACACAACAACAGAGGGGACATAAACCCCGCAGCGCACCCAGGAAAAAGCCTCCAAGCCCCGTCCACATCTCGGCCACATGGCCCACCTGCATGCACACTGTAGTCCGCTTTCTGCCGCTTCGCCCTAGGAGCCTCCGGGCTCTGAGCCACAGAGCAGCCACGCCGCCGCCGGGGCCGTCGACGCCGTTTACCTGCCGCTTCCGCGGCCTCCCCGGCGGGTTCAGGCTTCGGTTCCTGCTGCTGCCGCTCACGGGCTCGGCTTTGCAGCCGCTCGAGCAGCACTCGTGCCCGGCTACCCGCCTCTACCTCTGCATCCCCCAGTCCGGAAGCCTCCGGGCCTGCGTACCGCGCTACGTGGAATAGTGCCATAGTTGCAGCACGCCGTCGCTCTTCCTCGCGCTCCCTGATGACGTGATCAGACCGAGCCATCGCAGACGTCACAGGCGCGACCAAGCTCGGTAGTCCCTCGCGGCGGCATGGGTCGTCACCTGGCTTCGGCGGGCTCCCGTGGGGAGCTTGGTCGTCTACTACAGGCGGTGCTAACGAGCCGTGGCCAGGCCAATGCGGTGTTTGACATCCTGGCTGCACTTCAGGTGAGCGGCGGGGGCGGCCCTGGGGCGGCAAACGGGAATCACTACTGGGCCCAGCGTCACCCTTTCTGACCTCCCGCCTCAGTCCGAGGACCCTGAGGATATCCAGGAAGGAGTGCGTACGTGCAGCCGACTCTTCAGTACCTTGCTGGAACGGGAAGAGCTCTTCGTGGGCTCGCTGCCACGCGAGGATGGGGTCCTGGCAGGTAAAGTGACCTGGAGGGGCTGGGGTGCTGTCCGCCAGGCCGCCCCAACGGGATCCGCCTTATTAAATGACACCAGGAGGAACACGCCAAGCCGAGGCCCTGCAGGAGGACTCAGTCCATTGTGGCTCAGAAAGTGAGATCCGTGTACTTGCCAGGCCTACACGAACTCGTATACTAGCAACTTTTTTCCTCAGGGTTTTAGTTGTGCCACTTCAAAGTTTGGTGCTGTCACTGCCCTAGTGTTTGGAAGATCCAGATCCTGAGGCAAAGTGAGAAGAACTGTATTTTAATATCTAGTCCCAGTTTGCAGAGATCAGAAATGGTCTTTTCCAAGGCCTGGTCTGGGTACAGGTTCACAACTGAAGATGGGAGACCTTGGGAAGGCGGGACTGGGTTCAGGACCTTGGTCTGGCTTGGCACACAAACATCAATGGGAGTTAGCTCTCCTCTGTTCTCAGGATCCCAGGGAGCCACACACAAATACAAAGTTTGGATGAGACACCGCTATCACAGCTGCTGTAATCGCCTGGAGGAGCTCCTGACCCATCCCTCCTTCCAAGTCAAGGTGAGTCTTGAAGTCCTTGGCCCAGCTTCTCTAAAGCACAGGTGTAGGGGCTGCTTTTGTGAACACCTCTCTCCCTGTTTAAGAGAAGTTACATGTCTTCATTGCTCTTTTTCTTCCACAAAAATTTATGGTATGGTATTTGTGGTATGATTTATCTGGCTCTGAAGATGTAGTGTCTGTAACCCTAGTTCTGGGCACCGTATCTGCTTTGCATATTGTCATGTTTGGTGTGGTATCTCCAAAATTGCTTGATGAGAGAGCAGTTAGGTGGCTTCCCCTGCAAGCCCAGCTTGTGTACATGCCTCGGGCCAAATTCTGTTATAAGTTCTGTCCCAAGTCAACAAGAGCATGTCACTGTTACCATCATCACATACATGTAACATGGAGCAAGGTAAGATGTGGTCTCCTTTCTCTCCTACTTCTTGGCCCCGGGCCAAAGCCTGGTTGGGAGCGACCCTGAGGCTAGGTGAACTCTGGGAGGCCATCTAGATGGGGACATCATGGTTACTCTTTCTCTGCTTCCCAGGAGCTGGCCCTCAAGACACTCATGAAGTTTGTGCAGCTGGAAGGAGCGAAACCCCTGGAGAAGCCCCAGTGGGAAAGTCACTACCTCTTCCCCCGCACACTCTTCAGGGTAAGGCCTTAGTGGGATCTGGAAGACTGTGGTGGCCAAGCCTAAGATGTTTTCGTGAGTTAGTTTCCTGAACAGATAGCTGGGGCATATTATGTTCCTGTCTTGCTTTGACCTGGGAACTAAGCAAGGCTTCCTGCTCACAGGTCTCTGTTGTAGCACAATTAATAAAAACCCAGAGACAGATATTGGCATTCAGCCTGAAGTTCATAAAAGCAAAATAGCCAGCCACTGGCTTTTACCTCTACCTCAGTCTGAAATGGTGATGCTGCCTCCAGGAATCCTCAGAACGAGACTGAGAGCTGTCTCCTGGCCTCTTATATTCCTCTCTAGTGCTGGAACTAAAGGTGTGCACTACTTCCGACCAGTTTGGATGGCAAACTAGTATAGCTTCTAGGATTAAAGGTGTGTGTCACCATTGTCTAGTCTGTAAGGCTGACCAGTGGGGATGTTTTACTCTTTGATCTCCAAGCAAACTTTATTGAAATGCAAATGAAATATCACTATATTCTGTCTTGTGAATTGGAGAGGAAATGGCAGACAGCCTGGTGGTGTGGAGCTTGATGGATGGTGACATCCTTCTTGACCATGCTAGGACCATTTTGTGGAAGAGAGTCATTCACCCTGTCTTTCTCCCCAGGCAGTGGTAGGAGGCCTGCTCACACCCGAGGATGACCACAGCCTGCTTATCTCCCAGTTCTGCGAATACTTGGAATATGATGATATACGGTACCACACAATGCAGGCGGCCACAAGCACTGTAGCCCAAGCCACCAGCCAGCAATCTGAGGTAAAAAGCTGGGTTCCATCACCATCCTATGCTCTAGTGCCTCAGGGAGGCAAGTAGATGGCAGCAGCCTGGACAGTTGCTCAAGCTAGGCTTTCTGCAGGTGTCACCCACCTTCTGGAACAATGCCTTCATGTTGCTGTCTGCTGTGAACCTGCCCCTCCAAGAGTATGACCTTACCAAGTTTTATGTGAAGCACACACGTGAGTTCTGAGCAGGTTAAGGCCCACTGGAGCGTGATCCTAGTAGGAGGGCTCCTGGAGAGATCCAGGCCTCTCAGCCTGGCTAGCCACTGTCTTCCCCTTTTTGCTGTGATTTCAGAGACATCAGACAAGTGGAAGGTCATTCACTTGAAGGTGAGATGCTTTCAGAGACTGAAGACCTTCCTTGGCATGGCCTCCTCTCTGGGCAGTTATAGGCAATAGCATGTACTCCATTGTCTCAGGTGATGCCACTTTTACATGTTACTATAACCAGCTTCAGACCTGAGTCCTGCGCCCCTCTGTTCTTTGTCTCTCCTTGTGCTGAGACTTGGCATCACAGACTGGCCTGGGTCTTTCAGGGTCAAAGGCCCATAGTTGACTGCAGAAGGACTGGGTGGGTCTGGGCTTTTTCAGGATACACATATTGCCTGGTCCCGTTGCAGGAGCACAGAAAAGCTTTCCAGGAGATGTGGCTTGGGTTCCTTAAACATAAGGTAGGGTGTGGTGGGTGAAGCCCCTGGTTTTATTGTGGGCAGTGGGGGCAAGGGGAGCAGCTCCATGACTGCCATGATCTCTACAGCTGCCCCTCAGCCTCTACAAGAAGGTCCTAGTGGCTATGCATGACTCCATCCTGCCCCACCTGGCTCAGCCCACCCTCATGATTGACTTCCTCACAAGTGCTTGTGATGTGGGTGAGTGGGACTTCCACTTAGGGTACTGGGCAAGGGGCACTCACTGTGCATGGGCCCAGCTGCCATCTCCTGCCTGACCTTCCTACATGTGACCGTAGGTAGTCAGTCTCTCTATAGGCTGGCCACCTGCATCTATGCTGCCTACTCCTCCCTTACCTACTCAGGCCCAGGGTGAGCAAGGTGTAGGTAGCCTCATGTCTTCCTGTGTTTCTGCAGGTGGTGCCATCAGCCTCCTGGCCTTGAATGGGCTTTTTATCCTAATCCATAAGCATAACCTGTGAGTACCAAATAGGACCACACTGGTCTGCTGTCTAGTTTTCTCTCAAAGGCCTTTGTTGCTCACCTGGGAGGTTAATGCAGAAGAGGTGCAAGAGGAGGAGCCTTGGTTACCTGGGGGATTCTGTGCCTTTAACCAGTTCACCTCCTGTGTCCTCTCTGCTCCCTCCCTCAGGGAATACCCTGATTTCTATCAAAAGCTCTATGGCCTCCTGGATCCATCCATCTTTCACGTCAAGTACCGAGCCCGGTTCTTTCACTTGGCCGACCTTTTCCTTTCCTCCTCGTGAGTGTTGGGAATATCCAGCTCCATGGTCTGTGGGGGCTATAGTTCTGGTTAGGGAGGCAGTGGAAGGATGTTTGGGGACCTATTTTCTCATACCTATTTCCCTCCCAGCCACCTCCCTGCCTACCTGGTGGCTGCTTTTGCCAAACGCCTGGCCCGGCTGGCCCTAACAGCACCTCCTGAGGCCCTTCTTATGGTCCTGCCCTTTATCTGTAACCTGTTGCGTAGACACCCTGCCTGCCGAGTTATGGTGCATCGTCCACAGGGCATCGGTGAGCGTGAGTAGCTGGGCATCATGGCACACCCTGGCTCCTGTGGTCCAAAAGGCCAGGTGGCAAATGGAAGCTTGATCCTGTTTGTAGAGCTAGATGCTGATCCATATGACCCAGTAGAGAAGGACCCAGCCAGGAGCCATGCCTTGGAGAGCTGCCTGTGGGAGCTGCAGGTGAGTCATCTGCCTGTCCAGCTTCTAGAAGGCATTTGAGTCTCCACTGACAGACACATCTCCAGCAGCCCCTAGAGATCTTGGTCACACAGGGCACTATGCCAGGGTATATTAAGATACTCGGTTACTGGTGACCCCACACTGGCTCAGGGCTTCAAGCTCCATTCTAAGGCCCTGCTGCTATTTCATGAGTTTTCTGACATCACTCTAACTCACTCCTAGACTCTTCAGCAGCACTACCATCCTGAGGTATCCAGAGCTGCTGGGGTCATCAACCAGGTGCTATCTGTCCCTGAGGTCAGCATTGCGCCACTCCTGGAACTTACTGCTTATGAGGTGAGAGCTGTGCACAGGGCTGTTGGGGTGCAGGCCGCAGGGACTACTGCATCCAGCCCAATGCCACCATTGTCTGTCCTTTGCAGATCTTTGAGCAGGACCTGAAGAAGAAGGCACCTGGGTCAGTGCCCCTGGAGTTCATCCCATCCAAAGGCCTGTTGGGCCGACAGGATCACCTCTGCACCCAGTTCTTCACTCTTACCTGACCTGGCCTCATCTCCTTCTTTTAGTGTCTGAGACAGACTCTCACTTTGTAACCCAGGCTGGCCTGTAACTTGTGGTCCCCCTGGCTCAGCTTCCCTGGTGCTGAGGTACAAGGGTCTACCACCATGTCTGCGTTCAAATAAATGTGTGTGTGTTTTAAAGGGAGTATATCTGGCCAGTCGGGTCTTGGGCAGAGTTTCTTCCCTGCTAGGCAGGCAGGGGCTGCCAGAGTCCTCTGCCTTTATTATAGCCTGGAGGACAGGACAGGGGGCTTGGATACTTCCACAGGGATCCTGGGAAGGTGGCACAGGAGCACTGGGCCCATTTTGTAATAGGGCAGCCCTGCTATATCCAGCTGTGCTTAGTTTAGACTCATGTGAGACAGGGTACCCAAGTGGTATCCTGGGGACACAGATCTGCCCCAGTCTTCTGGGCTGCTGTAAGTCTACCTGCTCTTTACCACAGAGAATCTAGTTTCTATCAGTTTCATCTGAAGGTTGTTCAAAGAGATGTCTTGGGTCTGTAGTGATTCAAGCAGATGACTATACTGTCCTGTTTCTACTCCCAGTTTGGCTGTTTGGAGTCTGTGTGAACCCATTTGCAAGGGATTGGCCAGTAGGCCCTACTGTGCATGACTTGTAAGGCTTTGACAGAAATGATGGTGGGTGGATTTGTTTGTCATGTGCAGAATTGGGAACACAGGACTGATCCTATGCTGGCTCCTGTGGCTCTTGCCTTGGTAAAGGTATGTTTCTCATTTCCTGGGGGGGTCTCAGAAGGTAGGTGTTGTACATAAACTACCAGGGACTCCAGCTCTTAATTTTCTCTTGCCCACTGTTGCCCTTAAAGTGGTTGCCCAATCACCTGATGGCTTTTCCTTTACCACTGGGTCATCATAAAGTCAGGCCTTTGAGTACTGCCCAACTCTCAGTATAGGTTGTTACTGACCAAAGTTCCCATATTGTTATCCGTATGGTTCCTTTGCCAGTCACATGGTGCTTATTTTCATTCGTATTGCTGCTACCTGCCCATTCTGGTTTGGCACCCATGCAGATACGACTTGGACACCAGCCATCAGTATGAATTGGGGATGTCCCTGCTGGTATTCAGTCAGGTCATTGCAAGAGGCAGGAGGAGAGGTTCTGGCTTTAAATGGCACTGGCCCCAGTACCACCTACATAGCATTGGTGATAAGGGTTTGTCTTAGGGTTTTTTTTTTCTTATTAATACAGTATTTATTTGTCCTCTCTCTGTCAAACCCTGAGCCAGTCACTTTCCCCAGACTTCCTGGGGAGGTAGAGGAAAAGGAACATACAAGGCAGACGGGACACAAAAGAACTACGGGAGGTGAAGTGGAGACAGCTGGGTCACATGGCGAAGAGGATGAGAAAGGCCACCATTAGGCAAAAGAGCCCCATGGCCTCTTGAGAGGGCAAAGCCCAGAATGGCGTAGGAGAAGAGCTGTTGCTTCAGAGAAGGGTTCCTGGCATAACCAATGATGAGGCTCCCAAAAACAGTTCCAATCCCAGCCCCAGAGCCAGCCCCAATGAACTTGGCGGCTGTGTCGATGTCCCTGGAAATGACACTGGTTTGGAAGCTGTGGCTAGGGACGAGTGAGGTCAAAGGACAAGGGACTGCCAAGCTGCTGAGGGCCTCATCTCTCCGTGTCTGTGGGTTCAGCTCCACTGCAGACAGAGGACGGCTCAGCAGCTGAGAGGTGCTCCTGACCAAGGAGCGGGTGGAGATGAACCTGGAACAGGCATACGTTTTCAGGGGTGAGGGGCCAAGGCAAGAGAGCTGCTCCCAGG